GCAAAAGCTTTGGAAGAAGTCTGCATTGAGACCATTGAGGCTGGCTTCATGACCAAGGACTTGGCTGCTTGCATTAAAGGTTTACCCAAGTAAGTGGAAGCCTCAAACTCTGGTCAGATTATCACGAGTGCCTTTTAGAATGTGAATTGTTATCAAATATCCTCTTAGGGCGTCTGCAGACCGTGCTTGTAAATTGTCAGAGAATATTTTTGACTTCACGGGACATACACTTTTTGTAACTATCCAGCTGTTCAACTTTGTGTCTGTATTGTAGCAGGAAAGTAGTGAAAGACAACACGGAAGTGTAAGGGTGAATTCAGCAACACGGCAGTCAGACTTTCGTGTGCAAAATTGGGCCACAGACAACAGTTGATCAGTGGGCGGGATGATAACTTGGTGATCTCCAACCCAGTGAACTATCGCTGAATGAAAAGATTTTGTTAGATGTTAGGAAGAAAATAACAGACAGTTGCAAAAGTGACTGTGAGGCTAGTTTATCCTACCCCTTTATTTTTTTAATTAGCAAATGAGAAAAGTAAGTAGTTAAAGTATAACAAGTCCCGTTAATCCCAACTGATAAAAATATCCTTTAACTGTCCGTAACTATCAATCTCGTATTCAAGGGCCTATGTGTTGGCCGGGGTTTTTCCAAGAACATGACAGCCAGTGTCCCAGATGGATTAGCAGCTGATTGCCCTCTTCCCTCAAAGTCAGAGTGAGTGACTAAGACTCACCTCAAGAAATTCTACTAAAATTTAGTCCTACTACCATGCCCCAACCAATGCTTCCCCAGAGATCCTGGTTAGAATCAGTGTGTCCCAGTAAACAGCATATATTCCATCACACTAACTTTTTTAAATTTGAATTTACAGCAAAAATAGTGTTAGAAATGTTCTTATCAGTATAGGAGCTTTGTAGCCTGTTTGATAGGCATTTACCTACAGAATTATGTCAGCCAGTACGTTGTCTTTTCAGGCTGGCAAAATAGCTAAGCAGGTCTAAAGCACCTGCTTAGGCAAGTTTAGGCAAGTACAGGAGAGCAAAGTTCAATCCCCAGCACCACATGCCATGCCAGCCCTACCCTTAGGGTGGGCTGAGCTGGCCAAAAAAAAAAAAAAAAAAAGATACCTGATAAAATAAGAGCATTAAAGTTTGTTTTGAAAAAAAAATAAAGTTTGTTTTGAGGACTTATAGTCATATGTGGAAATGTAGGTCAAGGCATGGCTTTCCCTTGAATAAGTTTTGTTATTTCTCAGAATGATGAATATAGGATGAGTTCGGTCTTACTGGTTGTAGTGCAACTGGAAGCTCTGTAACAATTTCAACATCAGAGCTTCATGGCAGGACACATCCATGAATGGACACAGGCTGCCCACCTGAGCCTGGGTGCACCCCAAGAACCTTGAGTATAGTCATCACCTGTCAATTGTAGCTCCTTAACATCAAGTTGGTTTTCTTTTAGAAATAAATAGAACACTACATTAGGTCACATTTCTAGGGTTTTGTTTTTCCCCGCTTTTATCATCTCAAAGACAAACTAAACTTCCTTCTTTTCTTTTTCCTCCCCTATTAGTGTGCAACGTTCCGACTACTTGAATACCTTTGAGTTCATGGACAAACTTGGAGAAAACTTGAAGATAAAACTAGCTCAGGCCAAACTTTAAGGTCACACCTGGGCTTAGGAGGACACCCGTTTTGCTGACTATGTCCAAAGGTTTACATTTTTTTGTATAACACTCAAGGATATAAAAACAAAATCAGTTTTGTACTTTGTTTAGAAGCCAGAGTTGATCTTTTCTATGAGTTTGTTGCCTTTTTTCTTA